TTACTTGAGAAATGTTTGACCATGACGCCGGCACACAATAGCCTACTCCTGCGAATGACATCGTTGGATCTTTAACCTCTACTGTAAAGTAGGCGGCACACATCTCAACTCGCAGCAATAACAAGGGCAGCCGCTGAACTCGAACCGTGAAGCTCAGCAACAAGTGGAGGACGCGCTACCGCTGGGCCCCATCACCCGCCCGAAGTGAACTGCATCCAAATTATGAAGAAACTCCAGTTGAAATGAGTATTTACAATGTAGGAAAATGTAAAAAAAAAAATATGATCTGCATGTTTTGAAGAACATGACATTTACGATCAACAAAGAAAGACATCCAAGAAATGTATGAGAAGAACTTCATTCTGTCTTCACATGAAAAACACATTCCTGTGGAGGGAGCTGGTAGGAACGTTGGGTTGCTCGGTCAATGTCCAGGGTCAACGGCGGCGTGGTGTATTCCGCAAATATGGCCGACTGTGAGGGCGGGCACGAGCCGGCGTGAGTAGGTTAAACGTTGAGTTTTATAAGGGCACCACGGGGTGACCAGCCCCTCCCCACCCAGCCCCAACACTCCCACCCCCCACGCAGCCCCACCCTCCCCACCCAGCCCCTCCCCACCCAGCCCCTCCCCACCCTGCCCCTCTCCACCCAGCGCCACCCCTCCCATTTTTGGATGCACGACGGACGGACACAATAATCCCCTGTGGGCTGGTGTAACCAGGAGGTTCCTACCAGTATAAAAACAAATACTTGTCCATTGGCCTTGGATTTCCAGACCAATATTATCCAGCAGCATTTCCTTAAGAAAAACAAACTATGAACCAGTTTCGGCTTTGTTCAAAAAATTCTGCTGGGTTGCCAGATGTTAACACTAACAACTAATCCGAAACTTACGCTAGTGGCAAGAGCACTTTATGTAAACAATGTGGCCCTGTTCAATACAAAAAGCATATTGCTTACAATTAAATGTTATATTTCCATAGCCACGTACATTTATTCAGGTTCAGCGTGGGATGATATGCCCACGAGTTGCTACTGACCTGGATTTGTCAGGCTCTCGCATGCATGTGGAGTGCCCGTGTTATGTACACTGCGCTGTCTGGGTGTGGCTGTGTCCTGGAGAGAACCCTCCGCAACAACAAAAAATTGGCAGCACATCACAGGAGTTGTGCAATACTAAATGCAGCATTAAGTTTTTGAAATTATTACCAATGTAGCGCTTACATAGCAGCAGAGAAGTCCAGCCCAGGACATAACAAAGGGTTTTCATCACGGAAAACAAGGAGGCTGTTTGTAACTTCATGTGATACATCGCATCTTTGTTTTTTTTGCCAAGATTATTTTTTATTAACAATTGTATTAATTAAAATCTTAAGAATAAAATTGCATGGCAGCAGAGAATTCATTATATCATTGGTCTTTTTTTTAAAGCACTTTATTCCATACTCTTTGGTTCTTTCGGTAAAGTCACTTAGGTATAAAATAATACAAATCACGACGTTTCGGGCGCAACACAAGCGTCCGTCATCAGGTGTGAAAGCATAATCTGCTGCTGAGGCAGACTTTATTCCAGTTAATTCCAATTTGGCTTCATTATAATTCATCCTAATCACTCATTGTTCATATTTCGCCTTGTATCTTTGTTACCGGTTGCTGGACGTATTGTTTTAACGTATATAATTAATTTGTTAAATTTATTGAAACAACAATAAAAAAATTAAACACAAAAAGGTACGCAATATTACTTCGGGAAGTCAAGAAGCCGGGTCGACAACAACACGTGCAAGTACAAAGTGAAACCCCGGGGGAAAGGTAGAGGGAGGGGGTGGGGGAGGAGCAGGACAAGTGGCACCCAATCATCACGTCCAGCATCAACGGAGGAGACCCCAACGCGCCAAATTACCCACAATCGTACAAATTCACAGCATCCGTGTAAATACGTAGAAAAAGTTTACAGACGATATGTATCCCTTTCATCTCCAATGTCTCTACCCAGGTGCTCAACATTGGCAGAGTTGATCACAGATTAAACAACGGATTATTTTGCCACTTTCACCCTTTGAAATACGAAACAAAATTATCATATTTTTACCAGGTAAGGCCCACTGAGATATATAGCTCTTTTTCAGAAGCGACCTGGCTGAAAATGATAGCTCAACGAAGTGGCTTATCACGTGGACATTTATAGCAGCTAAACACTCTAAATGTGGAGGGAAAACCCGAAGAACCCAGAGAAAAATCCACACGGCCACGGGTGGATATACAGCAGACGTCAGCGTCGTGATTGAACCCACGACCTCCTACATACCAGGCGAGGGAGTTAACATCTCGCCACTGTGGTTGCCCCAAATTGGGACCTCTAGCTAATTGAAAAGTGGGACATCTAAAGAGGTGCAGTAGATTTGCAAAAAAGCACGTGGATGAGTATCCAGGGAGGTGCTCTCTTGAGAGACTATGGAAATCCACGTCAGGTGTGTGGGGGGGGGGGAGATGGAAGTGCCACACGCCTTGTTCATTTCCGCAATATAATTCTCGAACATCTGGGCACGGCGAAAAGGCAAACTCGGAAGTTTGTGCTGTGGGGCGAGAACATTGTGGGTAATCGGGTGAGGTCGATAGGTCGCATTCATGCGGCGTGAGCGTGTATTGCGGTGGGTGAACGGTAAGAATGCAAATTGGGGGAGAAGAAGACGCACAGTGGAGCCAGTATCGCAAAATGTAGCCCATCAGACCACTCTCCACACTTGTTTTGTCAACGAATGGGATAACATATCACTGTAAAAAGCTGCTGTCTGGGGCCTTTGGGGGCAGATTATGATCAAGAAGGAGAGCAACGACCTCTGAGATATTTTTTTTTCGTCTTTACTTGGAACCTTTTCACCGATTTTGGAGGCATTGAGGCACCTGGAGGGTTCGAACGTGGGGGGGGGGGGGGGGGCGGGCTACGATGGCTCGCCTGAACTGGGGCCAATGAAAGCAGCAGCGGCAGCGTGTATTTATAAACAGGATTCTCATAGGACAGATGAGGATAAATATGAGGAAACCTCGGCACTCAACCATTGGCCACTGTTATTTTCTATCTTTGTCAAAACCCATGGACCGTCGTCTCTGGTGACTGACACATTCACGTGTGTGCTGACGACATGGTCATTTTCTACTTCTCTTAAACTGTATGCTGTTTACCCGTGCCGCTTCAAACTTAATTCTATTAATATGCACGCGCTATTCTTAGAAAGAAACATTTGTTCTGAATGCATATAACGCAAACTGCATTTGACTAAATACAAGACCCTGACAGCGACGTTGTGTGCAAAGTGGCTTAACTGCATTGCTTAGCATATCTCTGTAGATAAATACATTTAGAGCAAATGGCAAACATGTTTGAGCTGCAGGAATTGAAGTGTCACCTCCGTGCAAACTGGCTCGATATTGAGTGCACTCACCGTCAGGCTTTTAGCGCTTAAAAACAAGATTAGATAAAGATGTCCCCTGCCTGTTGTTTATTATAATTATCAGACTGGCCAATTTTAACCCTTCCCGTGAAGCTCTAGTTACTTGTGCTGCTGGTACAACACATGCATTGATCATGTGTGTCCCGAATGCAAGTGATAATGCAATGAAGTTTTCACATACTTCACTGCATCGATTTTACACATTGCTCTGAATATGTAAGTATACATTCCAAAGGGTGTGTTTTTTTACTCGATCATTTGATTCAAGTTTTGATTGCTATCTGTGTAAATAACGTTAGTGATACACCATTGCACACAATGTCACACAAGTATTTGCGGTAAAACATATGCGACTTGCCTGCCTTGGCAGTCATGGTGTGCAATCAAAGGCTGAAATGCTTTGCCCCCGTCCTCATAACCACTGCCTAATTGCGAAACAATATACATAAAATTCACCAAACATTTTGGGTAATCTCCTTTCATCAAATAAACATATTAAAAAAATTACGTAAATAAGTTTATGAGTGTTTCACTTGATTGAAATACACATCATATGTATTACGCTATTGTAATTGTCAATTTACTACTGGAATGCCCTATGAATAAAATATCATGCATGGATGACTTTTAATCTTATAATGGAAACGTGTAACCACATCCGTTTTTCTTGAGCTGAGTGACATCGGCTGATAACATAAAGACTTATCACAAGGCACTTACCTAAGTACATTTGCATGTAACATGAACATTATTTTTTGCGGTATGCTGATGGTTACGTTAAGGAGTGCAGTTATTGATTAGTTTATGTCTATTAGTGAGGCAAATGAAGACGTCTTCTTGGTTCTTTCGGTAAAGTCACGTAGAAGGGAAGTAATAAAATAATAAAAATTAAACATAATAAAATAATTCTCACGACGTTTCGGCCACAACGCAAGCAGCCGTCCTCAGGTGAAAACCAAATCTGAAAAAAAATGACGACGTGTTTGTTTGTTGAGACTGAGATAGTTTCTATGTATGTATAGATAAGAAGCATTATGATCAATGGTAATTGCACTTGAAACGGTCAGATTGTGACGTTTACAACGATAACATGTAAATGTGTTAAGTCAAATTCAGACGAATGAAGCTCCTCCTCATCGATGGCTTTGGACTTTTACGACTGACTTGAACATCAACATGCCAACAACTCGCCGCTCAAACTGCTCTGAGTTCCATCATGCAGTGCACTAGGAAATCGATGGATCAATGTCAACGATGTTCAACATCCCAGCGAATACATCAAAAGAGCAAATCGCGACTTTCTTAAAAAGTTTCGGTTCATATAGTGGGGTGATTCACTTTGTTCAAAACAAGAGACAATTCTCGATGTGTGTGTGTGTGCCGTTCTGTAAACGATTCCTCTGATGTGGACGCCTCTGCCGGTGACACCAGCTGCCGTTCTTACCCCCACAGCTTCGGCCAATGAGATGGTAGTAGACCTCCGTACCCCGTGGACTACAGCCATAAGCACCTTCCCAAAATAACCGCGGCCGTTAGTGGAGTGACGCGAAGTCACCGTATCGGCGCAGAGCCTAAGCCTCCAGCTCGCCAGCGTTCATGAGCGCTGGCCACGATTGTGCACAAGGCTGATCTGAAGGTGTCGTAGCCTCACAGAGGTGAAGTTGACGCTTCGGTAACCGTCAGGTTTTTTGTTTGACGAGCAGTCGGACAGCTGGATCCACAAGGGTGCAGGACGTTGATCCACCACTTGGCAATACTGAGACGACATCAGGTAAACCGCTTGGCTGATTCGCTTCTTTGGGATGCCTTATGTCCGTGGTGCAATGTTTGGGATGTATATGGTGCATCAGTCGGTCTGTGGTTTACATTCTATTTCCTTTCATTTGAAAGGAAAGAGAAGTACATTTCACTGAAAATGTTTGTATCAGTCAATCGTATTTTATGTGGACATGAAGTTTTGGAAGTTTTGTTTGGCACTTTCTACTCATGGCATTTAACTTTGTCGCCGTATCAGCAGCAGAGCCTCGCCTCCAGCTCCTGAAGATGGTTCACATATACATGACTTAGGTGTGTGCTTTTGAATCGTTTGTCTTGGCATACATTTTAACAGTGTTGAGTTACTTTGCAATTATAATGCAGATTTTTTTGTTTGTTAAAGTATTCACATTATTTAGAGGTGTTCGTTAAAATAAAGTTGCAAAATATTAAAGTGTTCCGCGCAACTCTATAGGAATATCATCTTCAATTAATATACGGCTCTAGAAAATGTAAATCACAGCAATGGCAGTAAGTTGCAACTCAAAATAATGCATTGTATGGTGTCAACGTAAAAATATTTTTTACTGAGTCATTACATAAATAACATTGTTTTCTTAATTTTTTCGGCTGTCTCTTTGCAACTGTTCATTAGAAAAAGCAACACGGCGCGCTGTTTAGCGGCTATATTTTTATCCGGTGGCCTGGAATCGGCACGCGTGGAGCCACCACTCCAGAGGCACGTGCGGCATTTCCCTCAACCACCACCGCCACCCCCCACCCACCCACCGACTCGTGCTCCCTTCGCTCGCGCAAACATCCCTCCCCTATCGCCGCCGAGGTTCCACCACGCCGCCTGCTATCTCGTCCTCCCCGCCACCACCATCACCACCATCACCACCATCTCCTCCTCCCGCTTCCGCGGATGAAGTGGCGCGCGCGTGCCTTGGAGCTGTCACTTTCAGCGAGTTCGAGAACGGGGTTGTTTTTTTTTCACCGCGCGGCAACGCAACGCTCGATCACTGCCTTCTTCTGGTGGTTCTGGAGTTCTAGAAGTAAAACGATATCGGTGGGGGGGGGGGGGTTGCTAAATATAGCCGACGACCTGCAGCAGAGTAATGCACACGACAGCTGACGCCAAAGGGGAGAGGGGGGGCGGTAAAGATTGCACCGTAGGCATTTTCTGCCCTTCTTGAACTTAAAGTGACACAAGCAGGCGTGCGTAAACGTGCCCTTTTTGAATAAGCCCTCAACAAGTTGTTCGTGTAAGAGTAAACACATGTCATGAGGAGATGTCCCCTACGTCTCTTCAGGTAAATTTAGAATGTTTTAGGTCCGTCGTGGAGCAGGAATATACCGCCGGCGGGCGGGAGGCCAGAGTGGCTGATTTAGCTTAGTTCCTCGTGTCACCAAGTATTTTGGGATATTTTTCTGACAAACAAGTCCCTCGCACCAAGGTTTTGTGTTTCAAAAAGAATCGTGGTGGTAGTAGTGGGGGTGGTGGGGGGGGGGGGGTATAAATCGGCTGACATTGCTCTGCGACGTTTTCTCTTTTGTTGCGTAATTTTCTGTTGCCCCCAGCGGTGTCTAAACATTATTGCGCGCGTCTTTTGCTGCCGTTTCAAAAGGTTCACATCAAGTTGGGTTCACGCCATGTCAATCGTGGCATGAAAGTAGCTAATTATATATGTATACGTCAATTTACAATAGTGTATTTATAACAGTGTGCATTGGAAGTCGATTTTAAAATGTTCACGTTAATGTAAGTGGTTACAGCACATCTGAAAATAAAACACGTGGACATATATTTGTATGAAAATGTTACGTACACATGTAGGAGTGATAAGCAGCAATATAACTTGTAGTCCGTGAATGACACACCTACCTTCTGCCCAAACAAAGAACGTGAATTAGTTTCATCTCCCATTGTCTTTTACATGTTTATTGCGTGTGTTCCTTTTTCATTTAAGGTGGTTCTGACGTTTTTTCACCAAGGGTACCTTTCATGAACAATTTTTCAATATTAAATCTGGTACATTTAATTCATCAAGATTGCAGCCCATGTTGCCTGTCTAGCAGGTGTGCTGACGTTAATGTTAGATCATTTCTGAGCCCTGGGTAGCGTATTGGTCACCTGCCTGGACTAGAATTAGTCTACCGATATAGCAACTCACTTTGCAGAGCAAACATCCAATTATCAGTGGTTAGTTTAACACGTAGGCTTTCGCGACCAATGTTATTCATAATCAACGTTTTTGGGTTTAGATCGCGTTATTTATAAATGTGTCGTAACCCTCCACCACCCGACACGGCCAATCAGTAAAAAACTGTCACGTTGACAAAAGACAAATAGTTCACTGCTTTAGCCCACCGGTGTGTTGAAGCCACAACATTTACAATTTGAGTACGACGTTTCGCTAGTAATTGCATCCAGCATCATCGGGCAGTGGTTGCAAACAACTGAAATTCACAACCTTCAGTAGAATTTCAGCATGCCGGCTACAGTACATGGAGTATTTACTTCGCTGCACATTCCCACAGGGAGTCGTCTATGTATAGGTGTTGGTTAATTTTCCATGAGGTGCTTTCACAAAATAGGAATTCCCACTGATAAGGATGGAGAGCATTTGGTAACCAGGAATTTTGGGATCATGACAGTGATGGCAGGGGAGTAGAAGCGTTTGCGTGGTTAGGAAGTGACCTCAGCTCTCTCCCATGCTCCATACTTCCTCATGGGATTGTGTGATGTTATGGAACATTTTTTTTGTATCAATGCCGTATGTGGGATCTTTAATGCTAGGACAATTACTGCCTATAAAATGTGGCTCATTGTGTCGAATGGCACGTGCTGAGTACACGTACATTTTCAATAAAAAAAAGCCTGTATACAATATTTCGATTTAAAGCTTTCGTGACTGCAGGGATTCATCTTCTTGGTTCTTTCGGTAAAGTCACGTAGAATGGAAATAATAAATTAATAAAAATAAAACATAATAAAATAATTCTCACGACGTTTCGGCCACAACGCAAGCAGCCGTCCTCAGGTAAAGAACAGGTATGTCGAGAAGACAAATAATTATTTTATTATGTTTAATTTTTATTATTTTATTATTTCCATTCTACGTGACTTTACCGAAAGAACCAAGAAGAAAAAAGCTGCATACAATACTTTAATAATGTTCAACCCTTTGTCAATCCAACGTTAGATGAAAGCATCCCCACACTGTGTTGGTCGTGGATGTTGCTTAACCAAACTTGACCATGCGAGCGAGTGCAGGTTGGCGAAGTGGTGACTCAGGACGCGTTTGGATATTGAACGTTAGCCGTTGCTGTGAATGAATCTCAGGTTGCCGGGTGAACAGCGCAGTGCACTACACAATGCACCACTGCTGTCACCAATATCTCATAGTATAACTCAGTGCATTTTACAACAAATTTAACGTTTTGTACAATAAACAACACGTTTTTTATGTTCCTTAAGGACGTACAATGTTCGATGATTCACATTGTATCTACTTATGTTTGTGTCGTTATCACTCAAATCCAATATTCTGAAAATCTATTCTACTTTCGCTGTGAATAACTTCAGCGAAAGTGTGTCTTCTTGTTTCACTCTCCTTGTCACTTGTATGGTGATGCATTCTTCATACAATCTCATTGTAGGTGTTAAAACAAATTTCCAATGGGGTTTAGAACATGCCATTTATAAAATATGTTTTTTTTTACATGACTTACAAATTGAAATAAACAGTATCATTATCAAAGCCACTGAAGATGAACTACATTATAACTATACTCTTTGGTTCTTTCGGTAAAGTCAGGTAGCTAGAAATAAAATAAAATAAAACAAATCACGACGTTACATTATAACTACAACCACCAACGGAAATGAACTACAGGAAATTATTTGAAGAACTTCATCAAGAAGAAAGCTCAAGATAAATATGAGGAATAAAACGTCCAACGCGAAGTCTGCACAACTGGAGAACGCATCAGGGTATCTTGTGTTTATTTTGTTGTTCGTCCCAGCACCTCCGATTAGCACGGTTGGCTATGTTCGGTGTGAAAGAAGTTCAAAATACATACAAAAACTAATTCCAACACTTTCTATAAGCGATGAGAACCTCGTCGAACAGAAGAGTGAGCGAAGGCTGGAAACAAATAGAAGTAATATTATTTATTTTCACGTATTATATACATTACACGATGTATATCTAAATGAGTTATTGAAAGCAGAGGGGGATCAATATAATGAAATAAGAGGATAGAAGGTTGGAGTGCTTTCGAAAAAAAATTACTTAATGATAAAAATCAACATACTAATATATCTCAAGAAGAGCATATTTAATCAGCGCATATTGCCTGTTATGACATATGCATCAGAAACATGGATATTGATCATAATAATAAACATTTATTCATGAAGCTTTCAAAGTGCACAAAGAAGCATAGAGAGGAACATGAGGATTCTCGAACATCTACAAATGAAAGACATCACATTGTGAGCTTTGGGCAGTACACGTCGGGGGAAGGTACGATGGCCAGTGGTCGAAATTAAGAGCAGAGTGGCAGCCAAAAGATGGAACATGACTCATAGTACATCCACCGTGGAGATGGAGTGATGAAAGCAGCTTGTGTGCAAGAGCTACATGGATTGTTGCTTCACAGCTCCACTACATATGGTGATGACATCGTGGCAGCCTTCATCCAGAAATTAATAGATCATGGGAGATAATGAAGATATAATAATTTAAGAAAATATCATGCGGAGTCTTGTCACATGACCAAAAACCACATTTGTCTAGAGGAAATGCTTTGTGCTATGAAATTGTTTTGTATGCTTGTTAATATTGGGTGTTTACAAGCATTGCTGGAATATAAGCCTACGAGTGTGTGCCAACGGATTGCCCTTGTATCATCTAACGTTAATGTCCTGTGGTTTTGTAACTGGAGTATGAGCACATGATTTGCCAGAAAGGGTGAGGATTCTGCTGTGGCATTCGCTCAGAAGTTGAGTAACACATCACTGGGAGTTTGCACATGAACGTGCTGCAGTGCTGACAACACAGTGCAATGTGCATAACGTCATGAATTGCAGTTTTATCGGCGTAAACATGAATAGCATTAACATGGCTATCCAACAGTATAAACAGCCTGATTTTATTATCGCATGACACTATAAGACGATTTAAAACCAGTGCGATATTAGTCTCGTTTCATTGTGCCACTCGATTTAACTTTTTCAATAAGAATTCACAACTTTGTTACGTATGTTTAACTTCTTTAGCACCGTACGTGGCCAGCTGTGCTAAATTGGAGGTGTGAATCGGAGGTGCACAGACCCATTGACAAGCCGTACATAGCCAAGCTGTGCAGAGTGTTGGTGACTAATCAGAGATGCCAACCGTGTTAACAAAGCTCCAATAGTGAAACCACAATGAAGCCAGGAATGGCACATGCTACATTTTTAGATGGGCTATCACATAAACATCGAGATGGTCGTTGGTTCGTTTGAAACAATGCGGCAAGTTTCTTAAATACCCCCCCAACTCTGTCCACCCAGCAGGATCAATGGTCACGCCACAGTTAGTAGATGGGCAGGTTGCACGTGGTGGGGTAGAGTGTGGGTATCTCTCTTCCAAGATGTCTGGATCGTTTGGAGAAAAAAAGTAGGCCAAATACCCTAGACATCCTCCTAGTGCAGGCCGTTCTGCCAGAAGTGGCATGAGCGCAAAATTGTAGGGCTGGACCTTTTACCTACCACCTCTCACCTAGAGGCGTGTACGACACAACACTTCGTGCATTTATGTTGTTACTTAAACGTGCAGCAGGCACTATTTCGAGGAGATGATTTGGAGCAAAAAGTTTGGGATTTTCAACTTAAAGCCACGATGGAAATAAATCACGTACGTGGACACAACGATCCGTTCTGCGGCATGCAGCGTACACATCTGGTCAATGGCAAGCACTGACACAGTATTCTTAGGTCTTTTCGGTAAAGTCACGTAGGTAAAACATCAAAATTATTAAAAGTTAAATAAAATAAAAATCACGACGTTTCGGAGGCAACACAAGCTTCCGTCTTCAGGTGGAACCGTCACAGCCACGACAGCTGTATCAAGTTATCTAGAATCACTGACACAGTCTTACAAAAGAACATTTCAGGATCATGGGACTTCCCTTTTTCATTTGTGTCAGCATCTCGCCGGCTCTCACCAGCCCTTGTCCTTATCATCCTCTACATTGGAACGCCTGATTTCGCCCACCGCGCGTTACACCACATCACTGGCGTTCCGTGTTTCTATGAGTAGTTCACATTGTGTGTCCCATGTGTCAGGAGTGAAAATGAAAGTAATGAGCTATTCGCTATGCAATGTGAAACCTACAGCAGCGCTTAGCCACGGGTCGAATATACGTCTTCAAGATTAAAAGGAGACTATTTTTTCTGTACAATTGGTCAGGTTTTGGAGATCAAGACACGTGGGCTCAGAGTATGAATTGTTCGAGCGAATGCATTATTAAAACTTCTGAGGAGTCTAACGTGCACCAGCGAGCCAAATAATTGGCACATGAGTTCACACGGAAAGAGCACTCATGATGGAGTAAGTGAACACTGTCTGTAATTCGCGCAGCAGTCGTGGCGTGTGCATCGGTGACCTTTCCAGCGTCCAACTGTGGTGAGGAGCAATAATCCTCTTTCAAAATGTGCTAATTTCCTTTCCCAGGTGTAGCTCAATACAATCACGGTATTTGTAAAGGTTAACGCCTAACCGTATTTTAAATTGACTGCAGTAGCCGTTCAAAAGTTTGCGCTCACTTTTGTTTTCTTTTTCGCAACTAAACTGTTTGTTTTCTCATTCATTCACACCTGATGACGGTTGCTTGTGTTGCAATCGAAACGTCGTGTTCTATTATTATTTAATTTAATTTTCTACCTGACTTTACCGAAAGAACCAAAGAGTAATTCCTGCAGTCACGAAAGCTTCGAATCTAGTTCAAACTCAGCATTTGCGTAGGCGGTAACTCCTGGCTGCATGTGTTGCCGAGATGAAGGAAATGGTGTTGACAATGTCAATAGTTCCTTAGATAATTTTTCCACAATAAGAAATATAATGAATAAATTAACAAATGTTTATGGAATCTATGTAAAATGGATGAGTTTATTTACAATCGCTATTCATAAAACATCATAAAATGTGAAAGGTGCTTATTCCGTTTTAAACTTGGCATTTATTTGTAAAAAAAAAAAAAATCAAAATTACCTGAAAAAAGTGTTTATTCATGTTTCCTCGTTTGCATGGTGCTATTTTGTCAGAGCAATTGGATGCAACACAATAATGGTAAAGTGAGTTTCAAGTTGTCGCGTTTTTGTCTCGCCTCTATGACAGTATGCAAGAAGGAAACACAAACCCAGGAATTCCAGGGCATTCACCTGGCACACAGCAGTGGGAACGGCATCAGAGCGACGCCCAAGGCCACATGGGAGACCAGGAATTCTCTCCAGACCTGTCGGCGTTCCTAAGCCAAGACGAGCTCAACAAGAGCGTTGACCTCGCCCGGGAGGCCATCGGTTGCCCCTCAGCCGGAGATGGGCTCAGCTCCACGAGCAGACCAAATGCAGCGTGCCAGGCCATGCTGGGTCCCAGAGAATCTTCGCAAAGACAGGACCTCCAAAACATGGATAGGGTCCTCCAACAGAATCAAGCCCAAGCACCCGAGAGAACACTCAACAGCTGCCAGCCTGCGCAGAGCGACGACGAGTCCCCCAACCGTGCTCAGCAGAATCAAAGCGGCTCAATAGACACCAGTTGCAGTGCGTATCGGCCGTCGGCCATTCGTGGCGGTGAAGTTGCCGGTTTCGGCCAGCAGAAGCAGGGCGTGGGGAAACCCGTGGGCAGCGAGACGGACTCGAAGCACAACGCGGCGGCGCTGATCGAAGAACTCTCATCCCTCTTCAAGTCAGGCCCGCCGCGGAGAGGCGGGCGAAACCGGGGGAGGCGTGCGGGCCGCGGGGGCCACGTCTCGACGGAGGACATCTGCCAGGTGATGGATTGTCCCAAGCAGGGGCCCACGGCTCCTGCGCCCGTCGAGAGGATCCGCGTGCAGTCCAAGGAGCAGCTGTTTCAAATGCGGCAACAGCAGCAGCAGCAACAGCAGGCCCTGCAGCAGCAGCAGCAAGAGGTGTTGCCACAGCAGCAGGAGGACCAGAACTCATTGTGTGACTACATCCAGCAGCAGCAGCAGCAACAGCAGCAACAGCAGCAGGATGTCCGCAAGCCAACCGAGCTCACCACCTGTCAAGAAGATTTAGACGCGGAGCAAGATTCAAACCACAACGACCACCACCACCACCATCACCACCACCACCAACAACATCAAGAGGCGAGTGCTCAGCGCGAGTTTCCCAACCAGCAGCAGCTGGAGAACAGCGTCGAGGTAGCAGCAGCAGCAGCGGCAGCAGCATCAGCGCAGCAGCAGCAGCAGCGAGCGGCACCGCCGGCGCAGGCGGTCGAGACGAGGTCCGTGGACCCCGCGACGTCGCTGCTCGCGAGGGAGCCGCCGCGTTTCACCACCAAGCTGAAGAGCCGCGAGGTGCCCGAGGGCAGCCGAGTGCAGCTCGATTGCCGGCTCAGCGGCGCGCCGGCGCCGTCCGTCAGGTGAGAGTCGGTGGCTCGTGACCCGCGACTTGCGCTGAGCGACGCCTGTCAACAAACTCCCCCCTTGTCGGTGCCATAGCTTTGTTACGGAGCAATTCAGATCTTGTTGGTTACACCCACCCCCCACCCCACCCCCCACCCACCACCCACCACCGTGCCCTTTAAACATCTCAACATTCATCATACAGAGTCCCATCACAAGGGAGAAACACAAATAGGCAATCGCCACTGCTGCACTCATCACCACACCCACCACTACATACCGCCAACGCCTTATCGGTGCGTATTGAGGTCTGCATCGGTAAAAGAGCGGAACCATTTCGAGGACATTCACATTATGAGGTGCATACATTATGTACTGTTTGGGTATATGCAGTATTCCCCTGTGCCAAGTTAACATTTTCAATTAGTCCATGTTTGCCTGCTGTGACACGGATGGGAAACATGAACAAAAAATGCAAAGCGAAATTCAGAATTGGAATTGTACTCCCGGACAGACAGAAAGAGGACGAAATGGATCAGAGATCAAACACGAGTAAGAGACATCATATTGACTGTTAAGAGAAGTGGGCTTGGACTGGAGACACTGCTCAAAGGGATGACGAGGCCGGTGATGGAATGTCAGCTAGAGGAGGGAACATCTCAAAAGAATATTGAGGAAGACATGAAACAATAAAATCAGCGCATGTGTGGGGAACGAGATGGATTGTGGTATCAAAGGACCATGAAAGATGGTAACGACATGGGCAAGCCTTCATCCAGCAGTGGAAAGATAATGGTTCAAGGGTTAATTTAACAATTCTGTCTAAATTAAACAAAACAATGAAAACCAGATAATCCAAAATTCCATATTACAGCTATTCTTAATCACCACCATTTTTGTTAATCCACTGCTGGAATAAGCTTTCCCCTTGCTGTGTCGAACATGGGGGTTGTTTGACCATACTTCACCATGCTGGTCAGTGGGCGCTTGTGAAGGCAGTGTCCAGGACCTCTTCAGATATTACTCACCACTGATGTTAGCTGTGGCCAGGAATCTAACTCAACCCACTGAGTTAATAGTGCAGTGCGTTAACTACTGTGCCACTGCTTCCCGACGGTATCATACTGTAGTTCCCTTGAATTATCTTCATGCAAATTAAACTGGTGAGTAGCAAGCTGAATTAAATGACCATGGACATCCATAAATTCGTTCATGTTTAACAGTCAGTTGTGAGTGCATATCACCTTTTCTAACGTAACAAAACACACCACTCTAAAGCTATTTGCTGATATATGTGCTGCAGCGTATATATTGTGTAGATTTTGTTTTGTCACATGCTTTTGAGACAGTCACACACACACGTGTTCAGTGAATTAGAACACGAAGGGATGCTGGTTTTGTCAGCAAGTTCCTCAGCTGAAACATTAGCCAAGCTGCTGAAGGAGTTGTGACAGAAATCCCTGCTGCCTATAAAGGAATTAACATCTGTGTCAGATGTTGGAGGGTCTTAACAAACACAAATTTGGCCAGATCGTTGCGGGTCCTCACCTATATATAAAAAAAAAATCTATTATGGTTTATCATATTGGCTACAAAAACCTCTGTGATTGGTTATCTGAACCTTTATTTACAGGTAACACACACTAAGTGTCTGGAGGAGTTTTGTTTCTCCCCTAAATGTGATGTTGGTGCTATCGTGACTTGCTCCACTTTATTCAATGTTGCCAGTTCCACTCAAATAACGTCAGTATACTTGGTTTTTTTTCTGCTTGTATTGTCAATATGAACTATGACTAGCTTCACATAGTGATGTGTACACTTATTTTAAAATTAACAACAAACACAACAGAAATGTATTATAGTGAATACATTCCCTTCACCACCATCACTATCATCAGCCATGATCAATCCATTGTTGGATAATACCTACCGAAGCTGTCATCCTAGCTCACGTTCCCGCAATGTGATCATTCGCGTAGCACCTGCACACGAGCTGATTTAACTACTCCATCTGCTCGGTGGCCAATCCTGAATGAGCCCATGTCCTTGTCGCAAATTAACACGTTCCTTCGGAGTGGGCAGGTAGGCACTTGGTTGGACAGCGCATTCGTGCACGACAGACAGACAAATAATCCCTGGTGGGCAGTGTCTAACTTGTTGTTCCTACCTGTATACGTGTAGTGGATCGTGTCGTGTATAGTGTAGTGTGTAGGTTAAACGTTGAGTTTTATAAGGGCACCACGGGGTGACCAGCCCCTCCCCACCCAGCCCCCCCAGCCCTTCCCACCCTCCCCACCCAGCCCCTCCCCACCCTCCCCTCCCCTCCCGACCCAGCCCCACCCTCCCCACCCAGCCCCTTCCCAACCAGCCCCAGCCCTCCCACCCCCACCCTCCCCTCCCCATATGCACGACAGACAGACAAATAATCCCTGGTGGGCAGTGTGGAACCTGTTGTTCCTATCCGTAACATGGCGTTTCTAGGTTTAATAATCTCGACAAAAAAAATATCACAATTAAGTTAAAGGAGGTGAAGATTTGGACATTTGGTAACGATGTCGTTCAATAAGCGACAATTGGTGAGTAGGCCCGTTCAGAGAAATGGTGGGCCCCGGTTACACAAAGACACGTAAGCCGGTCGGCCCCATGCTTCCCCATGTAAACAAAAATCAACTCTTGTAATTTTTGGGGGGCCGCTAAGCTTACACTCCCCCCCCCCCAGTTTTTTTCAGTTTAATTTATCAGGTATAACCCTGTGAGCCATGCGGCTCTTGATTATATAAATTAAAGTCATCCCCCCCCCCCTTTGACCTACTGCTGTCGTTTTTCCTGCTGGTGAGCTTCCGTGACCTTTAGTCTTGATGCACTGTAAGCTTGGATAGCAGCACGCAGCTCGTGGGTGATGGTGCGTGTAAACCTCTTTTATTTATAGCGCCTCCAAATGGCTTGCATCAATTATTTCGCTGCCAAATTTTTAATGAAAGTTTCATTTCACACCTGTCCTGCTGGTATGAATTGCTGTTTTCAAATACATATCTAGTTTAGCCCTGTATGCAAGTAGTAACAATAAAAAAAAATCGGCAAGGAAAAGCACAGTGTCATAATATAACATACATTTTGTTTGTAACGTTTGCACGCAGCTCCGTAATGCTGGATTTTTGCAGAAAGCTAGCCAAGCAATATTACAGTTTAAAAATAAAATGCCTGGTTATTAATTAAGTATACATACTTTGAAGCAAAGTTATTTGGCTGTACTGCAAGAGTTACAGTGGCCCGCTGATTAAATAGCATCGTGGAAAGTTTACAATCCCCCATGTATAAAGGGTGGCACGCTGATTACTGTCACACAATTTGAGATGCTGTGTCTGGCAGAGAGCTCTGAAGCCAGGCATGGCTTGGAACATTGAGTGATGAACTCACAGCAATCATCCAGTCATGACTTCAGCTGTAAAATAATCACTTTGCAATTACATCCCCTGGTAAAGCTGAACTTTACATGTATATACTGTATATATTTAAAGTCAATGTTTCATGTTTATTCTCTGATTATATCAGTCTATGGCATAATTTTTCTAGATGCCACTCACATAATCTACTATCGGTAGTTTATGGTGACTTATGGTGACTTTCTTAATATTCTAAATAGTATTATCCTATTTATAACTGATTTTGAGTTTGTCATATATTTAATTTCAAGCATGTCTCTGGATTTCTGATAGTTAAGTCAAAAACTACTGGAGGTATATTACATCGGACATTATTCATTATACGTAAATATTATAAATGTGATATTTCAGTTTGGCCGTGAGGTTATGTTAACGTGCAACTTCTATCACATCAACCTGCGATGGCTTCCTGTGCTGAATTGTTGAGGATAGAGGCTCTACGTCTCTAACAATATGGGTTTTGTTAAATAGACTCAAGATGATATTGTTTCTAATTCACCATGTTAGAAGAACTAATTACTGAAAAAAACAGATATTTAACATCAAAAGTCTACATCAGGAGATGCTCAATTTTAGACTACCTCTAAGCAACACAATCACATGCCTACAGCAGTGTTTCTCAACCATTGTCGGATGATGCCCCCCCCCCCCCCCAGTCAAGAACGCTGTAAATAAAGAATGGACAAGAGCAGATTTGGAGTGGTTTCAGAAACTGAAATTGATCATGTCTATCAACCTAGAAAAGTGCCTTAAGATTTTTCTTATTCCAGTATACATCAACATTGACAGAGAAAATAGAAACAACAAGTTGAGAAGTGCACAAAAAAACAGGGGGAGATGGATGCTTGGAATTATATTGAGAGGCAGTAAGAGACACCCATATAATAGAGGACATACAAAAGTTGAATACACCATAGTGACTTAAATTTGTCGTATTGGGCTTGAGCAGGACATGGTGTTAGTAGGGACGATGGCTGGTGGTCAAGACTAACAACCAAGTGGCAGCCAAAGGAGGTGATTCACCCTAGATGATGACCACCGTGGAGATGGACCTGTGAAATCGGTTTGTGTACAGAAGATATGTGATTGTTGCATGCATAGAGAGATAGGGAGCCTGTGATAGATGGCTTGGTGTGACCTTTATCCAGGAGTGGATTGATTGTGACTGCTGATGATGACTTTGTAAATTTTCATATCCTATTTATAACTGACTTTCAGTTTTGTCAGATATTTAATTTCAAGTTGTGTCTCAGGATCGCGTGATAGTTTCAGTCAAAAACTGACACAAATAGTTCACAACTCACTGCTCACATTCAAACAAATATCTCCATCTTATTTACGTAGTTTTTTGGAATGACCTCTGAAACATTTTAGATCTGCCTGGGGATGGAAGCCAGCAAATTGCCAGGCCACTTGTGGCCATCTCTTGACTTATAGGGCACCTGTCCATGGATCACTTCCCCACATTTAGCCCGAATGCAACAGCTGCACTTCCTAAAAAAATAAAGACTGGTTACTTGACGTAGGAAAATGAGCCCGACTGCATGGCGATTAATAATTTAGTTTCTCGATTA